CGCCACTGGTGGTGGAATTCTACCCCAATAGTTTCACCTAATGGTGAAAAAACGGCCAAAACCGCGAAAAAATCGATAAAAAGGAAATATGTCAAAAATTTTGCGAAAATATTTATTGTTGGGTTACGGTAGCACTCGTTTGCCGGCTGTGTTTTCGAAAATTCTCCTTGAAATACGGTGGCCTAACTTGTGTGAAAATTCGGCCACAACTCCAATTTTTTTGCACAAGAATAATACTCGAGCAGTATAAAAAAATAATTATTGTTCTAAAAAGTGCACTCTCCGATACCCATCATATGATCCAGCTGCTCCAGCTGTGTCTGTTTTCGTAGGAGTAATCTGAAAAAAACGAGTCCTGGTATTCATATTTTAGTAGACCAAACAGTAGTCACAGTCGGATTTATCCACCCCCGGGTTATAACATTTCTTCCAAATATTCAAAAATTACTTTTTTTTCCAGAAATCGACATATCGTCTCATCCGTTCATCACACACCAAGCAGAAGTTCAACATTAGGACGTTGGAAACAGAATGTGAGTCTTCTAATTTTTCGTCTAATTTTCACTTCCAAAACAATCCCAAAACCATGTTTCCATTTGACAAAAAGAGCTTTCTTTTCGTTTTTTTTCTTCGTTTATATACACATATACACACAATATTTTGTTTGTGTATGTGTCAAGTTTTCTTTTTTTTTCCTCCCCATCCCTTCACCTTCTTGTTCCTGCCGCTCTGAATTATTATTCATAGTTTCTTCTTCCTTAAACTTTTCTTTTTTTATTTGAAACATTTCTGAAAAAGATGTGGTCTCCTTCCACAAGGTATCGCTGTTATGCGAGGGTGAGTTGGATGAATTTCTAGAGAAGAAAATGAGTCATACTGTAGAAAAAATGGAAAAAGAAGAAGAAGAAGAAAACAAAGAAGGAGGAGTCAGGAGAAAAGTAGAAAAAAAGGGAATTGTAGTTCATCAGAAAACGGATAACCATATACAAAAACCTCGATTTTGGTTTTCGAAGAATTCATTTTTTAAAATGATTTTTGTTAGAGAATTTTCCTTCCAAACTACCGTATTTCCTCTAATAAAGCCCACACAAACATTAATTTTGAACACAATTATATCGACTTCTACGAAAAATATCAAAAAGTTGTTCACTGATAAATTGTTTATCATCATATCAGAAATGATTTACCAGTTGAACAATTTTTGATAACTTTTACAGAAAATGAGATCTATGAGCTCAGATCAACTGTTTGAGATGCTCCTGTAAAAAATTAGTTTTCTGGCTGATGAATCACTCGTTTTCGAGAACTTGATCATTCAGATCTATTTTCAGAATATTGATTCTGAAAATAATTGTATCTGAGCAGACATTAAATTCTTAAAAAAGTTGCTGGCAGTTCTGAATTTAGTCTATTCCTCCCACTCTAAAACTTTCAATGAATTCCAGAACTCGACTGACTCCTACCTTCGTCACAACGGACCTTCAAACGTAGTGTCCCAATCATTACAACGGCGACATTCCACTCATCAAACACACCCGGATCCAAATGATCGTGAGTTTTTTCGCAAACACAATAATTTGGGTTTTTCGTGATTCTTGTTTTTTTTTTCGTCTTCTGAAATGTTATGGCTCCACGTCACCTGTTAGAAATAACAAAATGACGAGAAGAGGAGGTGATGAATAATAGTCAACCAACATGGTTTACAATTTTTTTAGATAGGGAATGTTTCAGAATCGACTGAAAAGGTGATGGAGATCGATAAGCTGCTGATCTCCCGAGCTGATGGTGTCGATGTGGCATTTGAACGGACGAAAGCATGGAGCACTTACAGTAAGGATGTGATAGCATACGTTAGGTCACGGATACAGCTGGAACAAGACCATGCTAGAAAAGTCCATGCATTGGTAGACACTTCGCGTCGGGATATCAACAAGCCATTTATGCCGTTGAGAGAAATCTTCGAGAATTCGTTTGACACGGAAGTGGAAATGGTAACACATACAAAAGAAACAACGGAGCATCTAAAAGATCGGGTTGTGGAAGCATTAGATGCTAGAAGAAAAGAACATGATACGGTTAGAAATGCATTGAAAGTCGAGTGGACGAAGGCAATGAAAGCGTTGGTAAGTTGTCCTTGAGAGGATCTCTGGAAATAGTAAGGGAAAAAGTTTTAGCATGACACTGAGGAAGCATACGAAAAGTCAAAAATCACATTACGAATGCGGGAAGAAGCTCTGAAAAAAGCACGGGAAAGTTGTCTACGAACGGAAAGTTCACCACCAGAACGGGAAGCATCAAGACGTAGACGGGATTTGGAGAAAAAGAATCGGGCCGTTGAGGAGGCTATGATTAAGGTAAGAATGTCTGGTCTGATATAAGGGATACAGTCTTTTAAGTTAATTTTCCTTTTTTTCCGATGAATAGTTACTGGAAGTGCTGGAATGAATGCTCACCCATCACCTCAATTATCTCGGTTCCTATGAAAGATATCAAAAAATGATTAACAAAAAAAAATGTTTTTCGTAAAGTTATTAAAATTTTATCATTTGAAAATGTTTTGATATCTTTTCAAGGAGGCGAGATAATTGAGCTCAAAGTGCACGTACAGGGTTGGCATCTAGAAAACAACTACGCTGTTCAGGAGACATATTGTTGTAAGATCGTTTACAAGCGTGTAACTTTATTTGTCCGTATTTTCATATTCGAATAGGTTGATGTTATTTACTAACCTAAATTTCAGAGTTTATGATCCAGATTTCTGAGCTTGATGATCGAGTAGCTGTTTTACAAATCTAATTACTCTAACGGAAGCCCACCCAAACCGTTCACTTTGAGCTCAATTATCTCAATTCCTGTGAAAGATATCATGATTGTGATAAATTTTTTCTGATACTGATAAATTTTTTATCAAAATATTCCCAATATTCTATCAGTCGACAAAGGTCTGATTTCTTTCGCAGAAATCGAGATAATTAAGCTTAAAGTTAACGGTTGGGCGGTCTCTTATTAGAGGAAGTACGGTACGCATATCTCATCTTTTTTCTTTCTATTGCCCATAATAACGAGATCATCTGTTCAGAGCAATTTAAATGCTTAATTAGACCCTTCCTTTTCTTGTGAAATCCCTCACGAGCTGATGTGCTCTTTTTAAGTCAAATGGTTAAATCCGCTTCTCCACCTGTTCAGCTCAACCCATGATCTGACTGCTACAAAATCCATGATTTGTGTATGGTTTCAGAAAGAAGAAGCCGAACGACAGGTGATGACAATAACAGCTGAGCTCCGAAAGAAGAGGCGGGACATCGATAAGACCAAAGTGAGTATTTATAAAAACTGAAAATTTAAAGTTTTTAAACATTCTGGATTCTTGTCGTTCTCTCTTCTATCTCTTATTTTATCTGACTTCTCGTAAACGGATTCTATGTGAAAACGTTTTTTTCGTTTTCCCGTCTCTTCGTTTCTTCGCCTCACACACTAATTCGTTGCTACCAATGAAACTCAATAGACAGCAAAAAGTGCTGAAATAATTGATAAGGCTGTCGGTCTTCTGGTGGTGGGGACGACTGCGTGGGAAACTAAAGAACTGCCGTTTCTCTTCTACTACTCTTCTTGAATTCTATATTGACGGTGGCACGGAATGAGGTGAAAGCAAAAATAGTAGAGAAAGTTTAGGAGACCCTGTGGGGTGAGCTCTTGAGTTCAATTTCCCGCAATTTCCGTTTTGAAACCTTTCCTTTCTCGCTTTCAATCAATTTCCTGTCATCCATTTTTTTCGAATTCAATTGTAACCTGCTCGCTGGAGTCTCCCTTCCTTGCATCATTCTTTTTTCTAGAAGCGAGAAACTACTTCTTCATGCAAAACGTTCATTGTCTCAGTTTTTCCCCTTTTGTCACAAAATTCTTTTTTCGCAGATTTTGTGGGGTTCTCTCAAGGTTCGAGTACCGTAGTCAGGCTGCTTTTCGAGAACCAGAGATGATGGCCGGATTCTGGATTCCGTGGTTTTTTTCATTCTAGATTCCGGATTCTGAAAAATATTTCTGTCCGGATTTCGTATTCCAGATGCCGAGAAAAATTTTTGTTCCGGATTTCAGCAAATGTGTTCATCTACAAGCATTTGCTGCCTTTATTGAACTTCCGCGACTAACGATTTTAAAATAATATATGTGTATTTTTTTAGTCCGTTGGAGAAGTCGAAACTCCGGATTCCGTATTTCAAGTTCCGGATTCTGGCCTTTCTTTCGTTCCGGTTTCCGGATTCCGTGAAATTTATATTTTCCCGATGTCGAGAAAGTGATTTTATTCCGGATTCCGATTCTCAAAAAAGTCTTTCCGGATATCTCTGTTGAGAACATAACTTCTGAAATTTAGAAATCATAGTTGATTCTTCAAATTTTGTTTTCTACGTCGGTTCGTTTTATCATTCATCGGATTATCACCGTCTTCTACTTGTAGTTTGTGCATCATTTCAAATTCACCATAATTCGATTTTTGACCTACTTGTATAGCCTACGTGACAAATTCTGATAGTCCTCGTCATAAAATGATGTGATGGTTCGAAGGAGGTCTCTTGAAATGCGATATCCAACAGTTTGAGAAGAATGAGGTACTGAAAATAGAAGAATGAAGGCGTGAGAATTGACTCAACATCCACAACATCATCAACAAAAGTCACTTCTGAGCGGTGTAATTCTGAAATACCGTACCCCCTTTTTCGTTCAGATCCACCTCTTCTCGAAAACTTTTCATTTGTTCTTCATTCTTATCCAATGCTCATCTATCTTCCTCTTTTTTCTTTTTTGAAGCAATCATCTCCTTCTCTCTTTCTTTTCACCATCATCATCATCCTCATCATCATCCGTGCTCCATAGACATCATCCACGAGTAATCAAGTTTTGGTGTGCAGCAAAAAGACCAAGAATAGTACATGAGACGAAGAGACGCAGACGCTTCCCGTTTTTGCGAAAAGAAGAAGAAGAAGCTGTAGGAGAAGAAGAAGGCACGCAACGGGGGAAAGGACGATGTCGAAGTAGAAGAAGGATGGGATGATGATGATGAAAAGCCATCAGATCCACTCAATGATTACCAAAATATTGTTAATTTTGGTATTCTCTAGTTTCGAAATCCAAAAACTCTCAAATTCCCAATCTTACCGTACTCCTAATAAATAGTTTTCAATCCGAATCTTGCTTGGAGCAAAATTACAGTTTCCGAGAATGAGATGCTCATCTTTTCCCAGCTGACTTCTTACCTGATCAATGAGTCGAACCCAAAAATAAAACCTGCAACTAGACAAAGTTCCTGTCTTTCTCTTTTTTTGCTATCCTGTCTCTTCCCGTTGAGTTAACAATCCTAATTTGTGATGCTGTACATTTTTCTCTCTTTTTTCACTCATTTCTCCTTCTTTTCATCTATTTTTTGCCCAGTTTTCTACTAATTATTGATTTGTATTTTGCCTGTGTTGCCCCTGCTCTCGGGGACGGCGATGACTCCTCTTTTTCCCCGCGCTTCTATCTCTTCAATTTTTGTCCCCCGTTTTCCTTTTTTTGTTTTTACTTCTTGCCCCATTCCTAGAAAATACCTATGAATATACCTAGTAAGTTATTCTATTTTCTTTCATGAGAAACGTGGTATCGGATTTTCCAAATTAGTCCACTGGGATCCCAGATTTTAGAATAATAGAGGGGCAGGAAACCAGAAAACACAAATTAGAAAGTCCGCTGAACATTCTGATTTGCGCCATTTTTGTTGAGTTCCTCTCCGCACATAAAGGTCCTTGAAATAGGCTATTACCGCAAGGCTGACATACAAGACAATTCTAAAAAACTAATACACCGTTGTTCCAAGGCACTCCCGAAGTGCCCTTCTATTAGAGGGGCCTTCAACTAAAGAAGCACCTTTTATTTTTCCGGGCATTTTTTCCAAAATTATTAATCGTGAAATGCAGTGAATTTTCGTGAAAAAAATCATGAAAGTCTATCAATTTCACAAAGCGCGAGCATGTTTTTGAGCAAGTCCCTCTCGGAGGACCCTTCTATTAGAGGGGATCTTCTATTGAAGGGGCCCTTCTGATAAAAGTTTTACGGTAACTCGATTTCTGACCTACTCATTTGCATAGTCTCCGTGACAAATTCTGATAGTCTCCGCGTCATAAAATGATGTGATGGTCGAAGGAGGTATTTTGAAATGCGATGTCCAACAGTTAGGTCGATCGCAAATTCAAATAGAACCTAACCAAGTATCCTCGAACACCTGACGAATCTTCTTAACCTGAATATTTTTTCTGAATCCTACTACATCTTGTATATCCTAGATACACCTAGAAGAGAACAAGAGGTGCCAACTTTTCTCCCTCTCTACTTTTTTTCGGGTTTTCTCCCTTTCGCCGAAATTGGTGTCACCTCGGTGGATGCAGTCCATAAATCGTCCTTTTTCGGTCCGTCTCTCGCTTCCAAGCTCCAACTTTTTTTCCCTTCTTGTCCCCCGGACCGCTTCCGTTTTTTCCATCTTTCATTCTCTCAACTTTTCAAACTCTTTTCGAATGTCCTTCCAGATGAACCTTTTTTGGGAGGGCAAAAAACGAGAGAAAAATAAGACCTTTTTCGTTTTTTTCTATTTTTTTTCTTACTCATTCTCAACTTTTTTTCTTCTCTCAATTCATAAGTTTTTCTTATTCATATCTCATCTTTATTCTTCTTTTTTTTGGCCTTATACTTTTCTAGTTGTGCTTCTTCGTCTTTCTTCCGTTTCTTTTTTGTCGCGTCGACGTCTACATTTTCTTCATCCCGTGTCCGTTTTTTTCATCTTCCCACCGCTTCGGGAGGTCTTTTTTCCTTTCTCATGTCGACGATATTCATTCGTTCGTTTTGCTGTTCCACTCAACCTTTTTTTCCAGACATACACACTATTTTCTCTCGGTTTCCTTTCCTTCGACCCCCATCGCTGCCCCCACACGTTTTCTCATTTTTTCTCTTTTTCAGTTCCCTTTCCAGTTTTATCGGAATTCCGACAAAAAACACGGATCTACAAAAAAAAAAGGAAACGGAGTCAGAAGCGAGTCAGAATATTTAATGATGTGGGTCGAGTTACGATAACTCGAGTTTCCTAGGAACTAGTCTAGCGACTCTAGTGCTACAATTTTTGAAGTTCTGGTCAGGTATCAGAAAAAGTGCACTTTCGTCCTGAAAATTAGAAATTACTGTTCTATACTTTCTCTAATTGCTCACTATCAGCTTTAATATAAAATTTCCCTGGAAATGTAATATCTAAACGAAAAATCAGTCTGGTCTCAATTCAGCGAAAAATAAGCAAGTTAAAAACTGGAAATTTTTGAAAAATTGCCTTTCTAACTATAAAAAAACTATAAAATCAAATTCTAGGAAAAATATTTTGTAGTTTATAACATACTTGTAACGGGCCGGNCCTCCACTATCAATACACTGAACTGTGTATAGGATGGACAATGTATCACAAGCGGAGCATTTTGATGGCTGTACAGTTCGTTGAATGTGATGCGATTGAGCAGCTGTTGAGATCTCATGGTTGTCAAATGTTCGGCCAGCTGGAAATAGATATTCTAATTTTGAAGAAGAAATTTGATCGTTACCATAGCTTGTCTTCTTGTGTCGTTTGGTATCCGGAAGAGCCCCTTCGTCGTCTGGGTTGATCGCATTTCTACGGAGAGATGTTAAAGAGGACGATCCATCACATGATGCTACACCTTCGTCAATAGAACGGGCCGATCTGAAGATTTTTTTTGATAAAAATATCGCAATTATA